AAATAGTTGAACATCTATTAAATATAAAATATTCTCATAAAAAATTACAAAATATGATTAACAAAATATGATAAATGTTCATGAATTACAATTCATTTCAAATTCTTCAACTTACAAAATAGAATTTATGATAAAATAACTAAAAATCTATCAAATATAAAATAGCCTTTTTTTCAATTTTTCTCCTCTTAATCTTCAATGGAGTGAATGGCTCTGGAAGGGGTGAATCCACCATATATACCACCAACATCATCAACATGTTCACCACCACTTTTATCACCAGTATCACCAATATCAACAGAATATTAACATTAACATCAACATCTGTTGCAACATCATCAGCACCACCAGTAGGTGTCTCTCTTTTGATGCCTATTGTTCCAAGCAATTCTCTTTTTATCAAATCCATCGTAGGGTCTGATTTGTGTCCATGATTCCTAGAGTTAAAAAGAATGGCATTTGCAACTATTGCTACTACGGGAACAAGTTAGGGATGCACAATTTATATACAAAAGTAATTTATATTTAAACTAATTCATAAATTATAATAGATAAAATACTTATTGTAATATTTATGTATATATTGTATTACCAACAAATGACCCATCTGTTGCAATAGATGAATCATCTGTTGGAAGAAAGCAAAATAGTAGCAAACAATTAAAAAAAATTTCAACAGATGACCCATTTATTGCAATAGATGGACCAACAAAAGCAAAACAATACCAAAAATTGAATTTTCTTCCAACATATTATCCATTTGTTGCAGCAGATGGTCATTTGTTGGAAGTAAGTAAAACAGAAGCAAACAATTAAGTTTTGTTCTAACAAATAACAAATGACATATCTGTTGCAACATATGGGTCATCTGTTTGAAGAAATCAAAACAGTACCAAACATCTAAGTTTTCTTCAAATAGATCATCCATCTCATTGCAATTGATGGGGTCAAACTGTTGGTCCAAAGCAAAACAATAGCAAACTCTTATGTTTTCTTCCAACAGATGACTCATTTATTGCAACAGATGACCCATCTATTGCAATAGATGACTCATTTATTGCAACAGATGAGTCATCTATTGCAATATATGGGTCATATATTTAAACGAAAACAAAACAGATGATCAGTTAATTTAAGTAAAGATTAATCTATAGAAGATTTACTATATCATAATGAGGATTGAAGAGATCAACAAAATCCATTTTTGTGTTATTCTTAGCAGACAACCACCTAAGAATCCTTGGTTGAGATAAGATATTGCTTTAAATGCCCAAGCCTAATGGTGTATACCCAACACATCATCTGTTTGTGGAATGACTTGTTCAGCGAGTTCCTCTAATGGTGTTTGTACTTTAGCTATTCTACTTGATTTATCAAAGACTATTCACTTGTTTTTTCTTTTGGAAGTCATTTTATCTACAAATAGAAAAAATGAAAAATGTTAACAATCAATTTGTGCATCATTAGAAAGTTAAATTAGAGGGGGGCAATTGAAAGTGTTTTTTGGTATATTTCGGCAAGCATGCACCTAAAGGCAATCACCACACAATCATTTAGTACGAACAAGTTAACACACGGATTTAGGCATGTAGTTATTTATTTATTTAATAAGATCGTGTAAGGATTATGAGCTCTCTTCTTTCACTATCTCAAATACAATGACAATTGGCAAAGGTATTCACCAAAATCCTTTCGAGTGTCAATACCGAAAGTCAATAAAAGAATGAACCAACAAGGTTACCTTACTTGTCTATGGTTAACTTTAAAAATAAAATCAAGTGAATCTCAATTATTTAAATTTGTATTCCACATGAATCAAAATTAGAGTAAAATATGCACTAAAATAACCACAAAAAATTGGATCAAAACTCCAACAGAAAATTGACCAAAACATACCAAATCAATTGTAAAAACTGCACCAAAACACCTTTGAATGGACAAGACAACGGAAACTATATTAGAATTGCACTAAACCAGCAAGAACTGAACAAAACTGATATCAAAACAATCAAAAAAATTTAACCAAAACTGCATCAAGACAGCAGCAAAAAAATGCACAAATTAGCAGCAAAAATTGCACTAAATCAGCAATCAAAACTGGAAAAAAAATTACAGCAATATCTACACTAAATCAACAGCCAAAACTTACCAAAACTGCAGCAATATCTAGACTAAACCAACAACCTAATCTGACCAAAATTGCACTAAAGCATCTGCTAAAACTACAACAAGCAGCAAATACTATACAAAAGTGATAATAAAAAGGTCCAAGATAACATTTTGATAGACTAAAAAGAATGAAATCAATAAATAAAACTTAAACTAAAAATCTCTAATTTTTTAACGGAAAACATCTACAACGATTTGTTCATTCCAGTATTTACTTTTAAAAAAATGAAACTAAAACTCCCCTTAATTTTTTACAAAAAAAAAGCTTTACCCGCAAATCGATGTTCCCTTGGCTGGTTAGAATGGAGCTGAAAAGTTAGGCGTCGGAAGTTGAAAGTTGTCGGAGAAACTGGTTGGAAGAATGGAGCAATTTCAATTTTTTGAGAAGATCGTCGTCTGCCCAGCCGGGAGAGAGGAGAACTTGTTTGAGAGAGAGGGAGTGAAAAGTTTATTTATTTAGTGAGTGGATTGTTTTGTATTTATAAAAAGATTATAAGTTTTTGAAAATATTAATTGAGTCCCTAATTAACTTAATCAACTATTTAAGTGTCTTTGACCTCTTTTTGGTCAACATTGTCACCAATAGTTAATTCAAGACTTAAAGGATACATTTCCTTCAATTTTCTCGAGAGAGTGTGTGTTTCTCTCATGTCAGAAATAAATGTTTCATTATATGATTGAATCGACATCAGCAACATGGAAGACACTTTTAAGCGCCATCGTCAAACCCTAGCCAAACTTCAATCCCTCACCACTAACGACCGCCGGCGCCCTCATGACAACGGAGATCTCAGTACAGAGGAAGGCAACTCCGAGATGTGGAACAACTTCTCCAACAGATTCCGGCAGGTGCAATCGGTGTTGAATCGGAACAGATCATTGATACAGCAAGTCAATGAAAATCATCAGTCCAGAACGAATGACAATATGGTGCAAAACGTGAGCCTGATTCAGGAGCTTAATGGCAACATTTCTAAAGTAGTTTCTCTCTATTCTTATATTTCCACCAATTTTTCAACCATGTTTGGTTAAGAAAACGACGCCATTGGAGACGAAACCAACAACCAGAGACACTACTGATGCTTCTCTTAATTGAATAATTCCCTCAATATCTTCAGAGGTCAAATTTATCTTTAACCTTTTGGTTGGCTCATAGCGTGTGTATTTCATAAGCATGTTTGTATTAAGGTTTGGGCATTTATACCGAGTCTTCAATAATGTGATGATCTGCTGAAGCTACTTGTCTACACTGCTTGAATATGTAAATATGTTGTTGTGGCAACTTCAACAACACCGCACGACTAAAGCTTGTTTGTCATAATCAATGATAACATTGCAGAACCTTCATATGTAACAAAAGACATTTTCTAGTGATGAGAACAAAATGGAAATTTCAACAACATATCTTTCTATGGTACATACAACAGAGAATTCATTCAAAATCCTTTACGAAAATAAATATAAAAGCAAAGGTTTTATTACAATTTTCATAAAAAATGAACCTTGTGTATATTCTACGCAGCAGTTGTGATCTTGTTTCAAGAGGGTTGTTTAAACTTTACAAGCAGTGAAAGTCCCATTGAACATTTCTTGACAGTGCATGAAACTGTCTTTTGCACGAGGTTCAGCACTTTAAAGCATTTGAGGCATTCTGGTACATGGAAAACTGAATCACTGAGGTAGTTCACTACTATTTGATATTCTAACTTTGCTTTTCGGGGTTTCACCTTGTCTGCCTTCAGCTTCAATTTTGTGGACAACATCCATCCCAGACAGAACCTTGCCGAAAACAACATGATGCTTGTCCAACCTAACCATGGGATGAAAGTAAACATTTTGGCAAGTAGCCCAAAATTGAAAGTTCAGTTGAAGATAAGTTGCACAAAATCAAGGACTTAGTTGAGTACCAACTAGTGGTCACAGTTGTGATAAAGGATTGAGATCCATTGGTGTCTGGTCCAGCATTCGCCATTAACAAAATACCTTTTCCCAAAACAAGTCTTTCAGTGGATAAAAAAACATTATGGCCAAAAACACTTCCTATTAAGGGAAGTGCAAGATTGAATAAAACACAAAAGATGGCAACAACCTATTACTATTAAATAGTCAAATCTCACCAGGTCCAGTGTGTTTTAGATCATAATTTCATCTGGAAAGCTTTCACCATTTATTGACTCTCCGTCTCGCCTATCACCACTGGTGAAGTCACCTCCCTGGATCATGAAGCTTGGTATGATCCTGTGGAAACTGCTACCTTTGTAATGGAGAGGCTTCCCGGCTTTCCCTGTTCCTTTTTCCCGGCCCTACAAGTTGAGTGATACATGTTTGCCATATTGGTAACTTCAGTATTAGTGATCATAATGGATGTTAATGCAGTAGAAAGGTGGTGAGGCTTCATCATCTTTATGCATTAATTTTCCATCTATACGACCCTCCTTGTCTGACGTCATTCTAGTCACAAGACCCCCCACCCTCCTAAATTATTCTATCTTTCTTTCTGCAACTTCATTTTGTTGGGGATAGTAAGGTATCGTTAGAGGGCGGCGAATTCCATGAGATTGACAAAAGTCATTAAATTCTTTTGAAGTGAATTCGCCTCCTCTATCGGACCTTAATGCTTTTATTTCGCAATCACTTTCTTTTCTACAAGTGCTTTGAAATTTTTAAAAGCAACAAAAACTTCAAATTTTTGCTTCAATAAAGAGCAAGAAGTATTTACTTTTACCAAAAGAAGGTGGATCGATTGGACCACACACATCGATGTGTACAAGTTGAAGTGGCTTACTTGTTCTTGATGTAGTCTCCTTTGGAAAACTCCTCCTTGCATATTTTCCAAGAAGACAAGCTTCACACAACTGATTTGGATGGTTGATTGACGGAATCCCATCAACCATGTTCTTGTCTCCCATTGATTTAAGTGCTTCAAAGTTCAAGTGCCCAAATCGCATATGTCAACACCATGATCATCTTGCACATTAGCCTTCAAACACTTTGCATCGATGATTTTAAGATTCAAAGGGAACAACCTATGCTTTGCCATATGCACTTTAGCAATTAAGTTGTTACTTGAATCTCTAAGCAAAAGATGCATATTTTCCATATGAATATCATATCTTTTTTCAAGAAGTTGACCCAAACTCAAAATATTATTTTTCAATTTTGCCACATAATAAATTTGTCAATCAATTTTTGACCACCATCTTTACAGGATATCAGAATCGTACCTATCCCTTCAATTTAGATTTTTGAGGTATCTCCAAAAGACATATTACCTTTCACCGTCTTCTTTATCTCCACAAACTTGTCTTTGTGGCCACACATATGATTGCTTGCCATTGTTAAAATACGATGAACTGGTATGCAATCATATGTATCTTCTTCTATGAGTCCTAATAACAATGTTGACTTAACTTCGTCTTTGTTGTTGTCAACAAGATCAACTTTCTCTTCAACATTATTACGACATTTTCAAGAGTAATGTCCAATTTTATGACAGTTATAACACACAATTTTAGATTTGTTATACCTCATTTGGTACTTTGATAGGCTCCACATCCTCTACCCCTCGTTGACCAAGGTCACGACCTCTAAATAACTGGTGACTTTTATCTTCATAATTGAATTTGTTGATATAACTTCTTCCTCTTCCACGGCCTCCACGGCCTCGTCATTGTCCATTTCCTTCGTAACTTTTCGCACCTTCAAATCCTTTGAAGGCTGCCTGAGTTTTAAGAAGTGGCTCTTCTTTTCTCCTTTTCATTTTTTCTTCGTGGGATTGTATAGAACCTTCCAATTGCTCTATTATAATAGAGTCTAAATGTAACACCTCGTAATTTAGTGAGTTGAACTAGTGAGTTCTAGAGCCTTTGGTAAGAGTTTTGGAGTGTCGTATGAGGGTTAAAACTTGTAAAAATGGCTCCCGTACTTAGAATAGGGGTTCTAGGGGTTAAACGTCCGGGTACGACCCCCTAAGGACCACCCGAGGGGTCTTTGAAGGGGACCCCAAAACAGTCCCAAAAATCTGGAAAAAAGTGTGACCTACGGATGGCCATCTACGGCCAGTAGATCAGACCACGTCCAGTAAGTCATGGGCGTAGGTCAAGGCTTGTGCAGGTCTGCAACTTCCAGCCTCAGTCTCTAACCATGAGACCAAATGACGGCCAGTAGACCCATCCACGGTCCGTGGATGGGTGGGCATGGATGTTGCCTGTTTTTAAGATTTTTAGTCTTAGTTAGGTGTTTGGGAATTAAATAGGTAATTAATTAGGGGTTAAGGGAGGTCGGTTAGTTAGTTAATTAATCACCTATTTAAGCTAATAAGACCCTAAACTAAATCATTAAATCATTATAACCCAAGACCCCAAATCAAAACCCAACTACTCTTCTCTCTAAGAATCTTCTCTCTAGAACCTCCATTGAAGAACAAAGAAAGAGATCAAGGAAAGCTAGAAGGAAGGAGTTTTTCAATACGAATTTGGAAGGATTCTACACCTAAGGTATGGGAGTTCTTCATGCTTGGGAAGCTCTCACCCCAATAGCCCTTTCAAAAGCTTTTAACTCAATCCTAGAAAACTCAATTAGTTAAGGTTTCAACTCAACTCCATGGATTCCTTTTAAAGTGGCTTTTAAAGGTTGAATTATGTTTGTTTGTGAATGTATGATTGATTTTATATAACTTTAACTCGAAATCCTTCAAGAATCTATGAGACCCCCAACTCTAGCTATGGTTCTTCTTTACATTATGTGATGGTTTTGCAAGTTGGTCCAATTGATTGAATGTGAGTTAATTATGATGTAATTGCATGATCTAAGTATGATTTTAAATGTATACTTGATTAACCTAAGATTCCTAAGGTGAATTGATATAGTCTAGGGTTGTGCCATGAAAGAGGCTAGTTGAGGGTTTAAATGGGATCCTCCTAGAATGATGAAATTCTTCATGTAATGCCTTAGATTAGATCACCTAGACTCGAATTGGTTTAAGGTAATGCTTCTAAACATAAATTGACTTGATCATGATACTATATACATGTTTATGAATATTTGGAGTATAAAGTGTCAATCATGATGTGACTAAGGTATTGATGAGTTGTTGGATCATGGTATTCCCTTATCTAATGTGCTATTGCTATATGTTTGGGATGAGTTGGTCCATAGCCCTCGAAGGGCATATTATGAAGGTTTGTGTATGTTGACAAGGTTGTGTGTGAACTTATGATTTACTTTGAAAGTGAAGATCCTATGACTATTGTGTAAATTGAGGTATTGTTGTAAAGGTCATTCTTCCCTTACCCTTACACTTGATTATGTATGAATTGTCTAGAATGATGATAATCTTGTTGTTGTGCCATTGCAAGGACAATTACACACACACACTCCATGCATAAATATGATTATGATGTATCAATGGTGTTAATTGAAAGTATAGTTCTCATATGCACCTTTACACATTATTATGCATGAAATGTACATGACTATGATGATCCTATTGTGTTGATTGAAAGTCCATTCTCATGAGAACACATGATCTTGGTGTGAAAGTTATTCTCACATACTAATTATGATTCTAAAGTTGAAAGTACATTCTCACTTTTAATGAATTTATGAGCTATTTTATGAATTGTATTGAATGAAGGGTAGAGCACTCCTTCACACATGTAAATACAATTCAAGACTAATGACATATAATTTGGGAAATAATGCTTAGTACCGAGTGGATATGAATCAACCTTATAGCTATACATTTAGTTCTACCTTAAGCAAGTCGGACACCTTCTTTCAGTGTGGGGTTACACGACACCGAATTTCATGTAGCTCACATGGATAATGTAATGTATGTGAGTTGCCTTATGGGTTGCATTTTCCAACTATTTCAAAGATGACGTTCAAAAATGGCATATAGCATGATTTCAAATGAAATGTCCCTTTTTATGCATGTTTTAAGGTTTTGTGCATGGCCTCCATACTTAGTACTTTTTGTGCTAACCCCATCTTTCTACATTTTCTATTAAGCGTAGGCTTTGGAGATATTGGATTCCATTCTCGTGGCTAGGTTCATAGGAGATCAAGAAAAGAAGATTGGTGAGTCCTCATTGTATTCGAGGGCTTGACCATATGTCATTTATTGTCTTTCTTTTATGTTTTAGACTTTGGTTGCAAGGGCTATGTCCCTAAGATTGTATTTCAAGAGTTTTATTCCAAGTATCATAGATGGTTTGAGACATAGTGTCATAGATTCTTTTTCATTTTATAAGAGACTTCGATTCTAAAAAAAAGTTTTAAATTTCGCACTATTTTTTTTTATAACTGAGAAATCCATTTGTGATCCGCCCTTTGGACCAATCACAGCCTTCTAAACTCCGCACTATTTTCCTATGCTTTTATGCTCATGTATGCTATGAGACTTGTATGCGACCCCTTCGGGGTCAATTACTCCGTGTTACTTCAGGATATTTTCTACCACACACACATCATCTACTTCCTCTACGTATCTTCTCAGTTGATTCACCACACCCATCAATCTTGAACCAGAAATCCGAAATGGATTTAGATTCTTTCATTTTTAAAACTTCAAAATCAGTTCTTAGAGTTTGAAGTTTTATTTTCTTTACTTTATCAATTCCTTGGAGAGAATTTTGTAAAATCTCACAAGCTTCTTTTGAGGTGGTTGCATCAGCCACCTTCTCAAACATGCCATCATCCAAACATTGATGGATAAGAGTGAGGGCATGTTGATCTTTCTTTCTTGTCTTTAACAAGATCTCCTTTTCATTTGGAGACAAAGTTTTCTCATTAACGGGTTTTGTATACCTTTTGTCTACAATGTCCCAAACATCTTGAGAGTCAAGAATGACTTTCATTCGTAGATACCATTTGTCATAATTTTCTCTTGTGAGACGCAGGTACTGAAAGGATAACGGACTATTATTTGTCATGGCTCTGATACCACGTTGTTGGAAAAAATGATAATCACACACATGATAATGTCCAAACTAAATAACAATATGAAGAGAGTAACAACGACACCAAATATTAAAATTGGGTAAATATCATACCCGAATAAGTAATACAATAATATTGATAAAAAACTTAGTAGTGTAAAAAAACTACTACTCAACACTCTTTTATTTCTTAAAACTCACAATAATATTACTTCTACACTATTTTCTCACAAACTAGGAAATAGCCTGTGGATTACTCTCTCTACTCTTTGTTGCTTCTTTATTTTAGTGTGTCTTCAAGTGTTCAATTACTACTCTATTTATAGAGTTTTTAACCTCTTGATTGCATCATTAGTGACATAAATGTGGCAGCCAATTTCTACAAAGTTTGGCTGTCAAACTCTACCAAACTTTGATTATCAACTTCCACAAATGTGACTGTCAACTTTCACATTTGTGGCTAATAATTTCAACAAGTGTGGCTATCAAATTAGTTGTTGGCAAGCTTTTGTTCTCACATCTCTCTAATAGATATTCCTAATTGCTTGCTCACTTTTCTCTATTTCAATTTGTTTTGTTATACATAAATAATATTTTTTGTTAGTCTTAAAATTTTAATTTTTCATGTAATATATTTAATCAAATTAATTAAAAAATATTTTTATACATCACAAAATTAAAAGATTTGCTCTTTTGCTTTGTTAAATTTCATGCAAAATTAAATGAAAGACAAATATTTATTTGTCTCATATTAATTGATCATTTTTTTATATGTAAGAAATCATAAATAAGAAGATAATTTTACAAATATATTTCTTTAAGAACCAAATGTGAACACTTTTAAAAAAATTAATTGCAAAGATAATATAGAAAAAAATAATTAATATTTTTTTGATTTAGTAAGCTGGACAAGTAATATAAGATATTCCCTCCGTTCACTTTTACTTGTCACGGTTTGACTGGACACACCCATTAAGAAAATAATTGATGATATCGATATTTTATCAAACTATCCCCTATTAAATCATGTTTTGTAAAATGATTTGAAAAATAAGTATTTAATACTGAGGGTAAAACATAAAAAAAAAATTATATTTTCTTGATATTTCAAAAGTAACAATTAAAAATAAAAACATATTTTAAATATAAGTGACAAATAAAAATAAACAGATGAAATAATTATTTTTAATAAGATGATTTATTAATACGGGAGGAATATAATATTGAAGTTATAGTGGAAAACACTGGGAAGATTTGAAATGGTGACTTTTTGCACTTTTTCATTATTTAATACCGTCCAATAAGCCTTTGTAATAAGATATTTTTGGCCAAAACTTACCCGAATTCTCTTCCTCTGCGCGTGGCCAGCAATCCTTCACCTTCTTTCTAATTTCTCTCCTTTAGGCCAAATCAAGGATGTCGCGTGAATGAGCACAGCCAAGCCAAATCATGGTTAGTCATCTCTGTGAGCTGCAACAACCACAACCAAATGAAGAAAATATCTAATCTGCACAAGATATGTATGCACCTCACCTCCCCAGAGACTAGAGAGAGTGTGTGTTTCTCTCATGTCAGAAATAAACGTTTCATTATATGATTGAATCGACATCAGCAACATGGAAGACACCTTTAAGCGCCATCGTCAAACCCTAGCCAAACCTAAATCCCTCACCACTAACGACCGCCGGCGCCCTCATGACAACGGAGACCTTAGTATAGAGGAAGGCAACTCCGAGATGTGGAACAACTTCTCCAACAGATTCCGGCAGGTGCAATCGGTGTTGGATCGGAACAGATCGCTGATACAGCAAGTCAACGAAAACCATCAGTCCAGAACCAACGACAATATGGTGCAGAACGTGAGCCTCATTCAGGAGCTTAATGGCAACATTTCTAAAGTTGTTTCTCTCTATTCTGATATTTCCACCAATTTTTCAACCATGTTTGGTCAAGAACACGACGCCATTGGAGACGAAACCAACAACCGGAGACACCACTGATGCTTCTCTTAATTTTATTTTATCTTCTCCGATCTACGTACCATTAATAGTTTTTAAAAGTTGATGTTGTTCATACTCTTATCGAAATGAAAGCATAGTCGAATTTATGCGTGTGTATTTCATAAGCATGTTTGTATTAAGGTTTGAGCATTTATTACCGAGTCTTCAAGAATGCGATGATCTGCTACTTGTCTTCACTGTTTGGCATAGTCATGAAAATATTGCTAAACTTTAGTATGTAACAAAGACATTTTCTGGCAATGAGAACAAAATGGAAATTTCAACAACATATCTTTTTATGTTACATACAACAAAGAATTTATTCAAAATCCTTTACGAAAATAAATATAAAAGCAAAAGTTTTATAACAATTTTCATAAAATGAGCCTTGTCTATTCAGAGCAGCAGCTGTGATCCTATTTCAAGAGGGTTGGTTTAACTTTACAAGCGGCGGAAGTCCCATAGCACATTTCTTGACAGTGTATGAAACTGGATTTAGAGCGAGGTTAAGCACTTTCAAGCATTTGAGGTATTCTGGTACATGGAAAATTTAATCACTGAGGTAGTTCACCACTATTTGATATTCTAACTTTGCTTTTCGGGGTTCCACTTTGTCTGCCTTCAGCTTCAATTTTGTGGACAACATCCATCCCAGACAGCACCTTCCCAAAAACAACATGATGCTTGTCCAACCTAACCATGGGACGGAAGTAAACATTTTGACAAGTAGCCCAAAATTGAAAGTTCAGTTGAAGATAAGTTGCACAAAATCAAGGATTTAGTTGAGTACCAGCTAGTGGTTACAGTTGTGATAAAGAATTGAGATCCGTTGGTGTCTGGTCCAGCATTCGCCATTGACAAAATACCTTTTTCCAAATCAACTGTCTTTCAGTGGATAGAAAACATTCTGGCCAAAAACACTTCCAATTAAGGGAAGTGCAAGATCGAATAAAACACAAAAGATACAAAAGATGGCAACAACCAATTATTAATGAATAGTCAGATCTCACCAGGTTCAGTGTGTTTTAGATCAAAGTTTTCATCTGGAAAGCTTTCACCATATATTGACTCTCCACCTCGCCCATCACCACGGGTGAAGTCGCCTCCCTGGATCATGAAGCTTGGTATGATCCTGTGGAAACTGCTACCTTTGTAATGGAGAGGCTTGCCAGCTTTCCCTGTTCCTTTTTCCCCTACAAGTTGAGTGATAAATGTTTGCCAGATTGGTAACTTCAGTATTCGTGTGCATAACGGATGTTAATGCAGTAGAAAGGTGGTGAGGTTTCATTATCTTTGCATTAATTTTCCATCTATACAACCCTCGTTGTCTGATGTCATTCTAGCCACGAGACACCCCTTCCCCTCCCCTAAATAACTAACAAGCAGTATCTGAACTCTGAAATGGTTCAAGTCTAGAACAGATATTTAGGAGAAGATGAATGCTAAAAGGGACTTCATAGAAACAAATAGATAACAAAAAAACCCTCATGCAAATGTAGATGTGTGTCTTGAAATAAACCAGTCAAGGAAGAAAGAGCAAATTGGCCCTTGCATCAGCAATGACCTGTGCCAATTAGAAGTATCTGCTTTTGGCTCCAATATACCTTACAGCATGGACATGAGTTTAATCCTTTACAGTATAGGATTTCTCTTTCTATCTCAAGTGTAATGAAAGAATTCTTCTGTTTTTTTTTTCTTTTGTCAATAAACTACAACTAGCTTTGGTATCCCTTTTATTTCATTGCCGGTTCACTTGTAAAGTAAGTCATGTTATCCAAGAGCACAAAGTTATAAGAATTTCCAGAACGGTATCCTCATTAACATGATGTTCAGATAAAGAGTACTGTAGTGGATCTGAATCTCTTGAAAAAAATGAAACTCAAGGGAACAAAAGTTTATTGGTTACCTGTGCAAAGAGCTCTGAAGTTTTCTGCAGAAAAAATTAAATATACAGCAATCTCATCAATGCAGTTTACAAGATAATGTACAATGCCAAAAAGAGCCAACATAATTCAGCACAAGATGGAGTACCCGCTGTCTTTGGGACAGTTTTCCCAAAGAGGCCCATGACAATACGACCTGAAAGGAAAGCAATCGATGTGTTCAAGATTAGTTCAGAAGAAAACCAAAACAAATCACAAGAAACTCTTCCACCTATGACTACAACTGAAATAGATCTGGCAATCTTTAACAATCCTGCTCTAACTACATTAGATTTATCTGGAATTATATGTCTTATGAACAACTTGGTAAGAACAAAAAATCTAAGCTGAATACATATGCGGACCTTGAACTGGCCAGGGTCACAATTTTTCAAAAATATTTTCACAAGAAAAACAAGTTCCTTAAAGATAAGGAAAATGACTTCTCTGGTGAAAGTATGGAAAGTATGGAGAACAAGTTTTATAAGTGACATTTGATTGTCTCCTCCCCACCCCCCACCTACCCCAACCCTTATAGTGTTTGCATAGATTAGTAATTTGCTAAACACAAGAAATTAAGTAAGAATTACTTATTTTCAAGGAAAACCTTTTTTTTTAAAAAAAAAATTCTAACTCGAAAATGTGTTATTTCATACCAAACACATCTTTAGTGACAACGTCCACCCCCATAAGCTTGCAAGCTAATTTGACCAAAAGTCCTGATTGATCCAATGCATCACCATGATTCTACTCCATCCATAATTCACCACGCATGCTAATATTTTTTCTCTAAAGTCAACATCTAATTGGATTTCTTCAACATATTGTAAATATAAATTTCCTTATTACTTTTTTCTTAGTCATGAAATAAAATTTGAAAGGCAACACAGATTGCAAGTGAGTAATGTGACAACTAGATAACATTCCACTTGAAAACGTGATACATTATTTCGCCAGGAACAAGGGTAGATTGTACATATCTGTTATCTTAAAACAATGTAAGGTTGTTTGATTCATGTAGCTATGAAGGAATTACTAAGCATGAATCGGTCATACGATAAATAATATAACAGGAATTGTTAGTATGAATTTCTCTTATCACAACTATATGTCCTTTACATACTTGACTTTTGAAATGCATTACTGAAGCTGAGAGTCTATCGGAAACAATCTCTCTACCTTCACAAGGTAGGGGTAAGGCTGTGTACATACCACCCTCCCCAAACCCCACTTGAGGGATTACACTGGATAGCCATTTTTTGAATTGTTATGCATGATTACTAAAATATAAAATGTTATGCAAGTTACCTACTTTAAGATATTTTTGTATTTAGATACTTTATGTATTGCTAATACATATATTCTTATTCCATGTTATATCATCCATAAAATAATACATAGATTCCCTCATAAGTTATGCATGTAATAAGTTTAATACTACCAACCAAACTTTGTATAAATCGAGCGAGATTATTTATGCAGCCCGCCAAACACTATTATTTTGTGCACCGATTTTTTTTCTTATGAGACTTTTGTAGTCATAATTTAGTGCAACGGTACCTTTATTAATGCAACCAACCTAACATCCATGGACATGAAGGCTAACTGACCTCCCATCTTGAAGAGGATACCACTGCAACATAATTCCATCTGCTAATATCATGTACGTGGTGAGTGAAATTGTGATGCATTTTGTACCCCGTTCTAATAAGAAATCTTAAAACATTGGCCCTAACCATTTAACCATAAAAGCTCCCTCGTTCATTTCTCAAACTTTCGTTTTCCTTTTTCTTTCTGGTCAGACATGAAAAAGGAGAGAAGTCCAAGAGTAAAAGCCACCAGTATAATTAGAAAAGTTCATGCCAGGGGTAAAGCTTAGCTTCCACAGTTCAATTATCAAATCAATCCATGATAAATTTTGTGCAGAACAATGCAAAAATTCATTACAACAGGAACATAAACAGAAAAGTAAGATCTAGCATTTACCCATTCTGAATTTTTTTCTTTTGAAGAACAAAACAAAGTTATCTACAATTCTATATCATTCTCGGCAAACGATAAAACTTGATCAAACTATAAAGCCATTTTTTTTGTTTCTATATATGGCTGTGGCAGGATAAATGAAGAAGGAAAAATACCAGTAGGTTTTCCATTAATTTCGACATCAAAGTATACTTTATGTGTCACCCGCTCCAAATCCTCTGATGTTTTTGCCTACAACAATTATAATGACGAAATGTGTTTTCATATTCTGAAGTAAAAATTAAGTAATCAATAATTCGAAATCCTATGGTTTGGAGTCAACAAAATACTAATCTGTAACATGTAAACACAAAATTGAACCTCGTCATTCCGCTCGATTGTAATGTCTTTACCATCTGAGGAGACTCCTGTATTACCTAATCGGTTCTGACAATATACAATTAACAACACAAGTAATGTTAGTAGTAGAAGAGAACAAGTCAGAAAGAGAAGAGTGGTGAAAAATACCAGAATGAAAATTAGGGTTCCGAATAAAACCAGAACCCAGACAACAAGGAAAGGAGATAATTTGTTTCTGTTCGCCATTTTCTTTTCCTCCAAAGTCTTCACTGTAGGTCGGAACTGATCCAATTTAAACAGTAGGGAAGATCAAATGTATTTAAACTTTGACCTCAGTTGTGTAATTTGAGTGGGTACAAATAGTTGCTTAAATTATTACTCCCTTGTTCCACTTTTAACCGCCATGGTTTTTTTTAGAGTCAAATTATAAAAATTTGAGTAATATTTTAGCATGTATTTTTTCATTATATTGAAATGTTAAAAATTGCAATTCATAGTACTTTTCGTATAGTTTTTGAATATCTAATTTTTTTGTTTAAAATATCGAATTAATGTAATTTAATTTAACTTTGAAAATTAGTCAAATTATTTTTTGAAAAGCGCAACATTACAATTAAAAGCGGACAAAAGAAGTATAAAGTTGAAAAAAAATGCGTGCATCCTACGTGATAAATTATATGAGATGCACGTATTCTATCTCATAAACTACGTGAGATTTGTAATGTAGGACACATATATGTACTTATTCAATTTTATTATAATTTGGGAAAGGGATGACATATTCCTTAATTTTATCATTTGAAGTTGATATACTCTTTGTTTTAAAAGTGACTTACATACATTTCTATCATTATAAAATTACTCACATATA